TCAGCTGCGCTCAGAGAACGAGTTTGCTGTTAGTCCGTCTGGGCTGTTTTGATATTAGTGGGTGGTATTTTTGTTCATGATTTGTTCGCTTCCAGGCGTTAAACATAAAGATGACTTAAAAAGCTGCATGTGTGGTCCTTGTACACTGTCCTAAGGCAAGGATTGGGGTTACCTCCCTTAGACCACTAAAAATTCACAAACTAAAGCTAGCCTTTGGTCCAGACTTCTGTCTAGCAGATTTGGGAGGAAAAATCAAATTGGCATCACTAGAGTGGAATTTAACCTATAACACCCTAAACGCCTTGGGCCAGAGTGGTCTGTCTCAAGGGGCCGTGTCTCCCATGATGGGCCTGCCTAGGTGGGTGGGCGGGTGGGTTAAGACCATTAGGAGAGAGGCCTTTCTCTTGGTCCCACCACCTTCACAGGTGCGTCTGATGGGGACCTTCTCTGTGGCTGCTCCCAGAGACTCTGGAACTCCCTCCCACTGGAGGCCCTACTGACCCCCCTCTTGGCTCTCCTTCCCCAAGCAGGAGAAGACCTTTATCTTGAAGCAGGCTTTCCCCCAGTGACTGGCTGAAGAGTGAGTGGGTTTTTTTTAAAAGGCCTGCTATTCCATTACTGCTTTGTATGTGTTTTTAGGGTTGCTTTTGTTTGTCATTTCTCAGAGTGGTATTTGTTTCATTGAATACTAAAAAGTATTTCTATACTTAGTGTTTTTAGTTTCAAATATTGTCTTTTAAGGATGTAAACTGCCAGGTCCTTTTAAAGGAGAAAGGTGGGGTAAAAATATAATAAACAAACAAATTTGAAACCAATACTCCTGGCTTGGTTTTGCATCTTGCCATGATTTCTGGAATGTTTTTGATTCTTCTGGGCACAGACCTCCAGTGCCCACCCCGGCTGGTACGGAGCAAAAGCGAGCAACTGTTAGTCATTGTTTGGTGGTTGAATGGAGGGATCTCCAGCCCTTGCGTTCAGTGTTTAGTTATACAGTATTAGGCATTCTTCTCTGACCGATTCACGGGCATTGTGTTGTCAATTAGGGTAAAGGTGAGGGAAAGAAAGAGGGTGCAAGACCAACGAGGTTCCTCATCTGACTGAGCAAAGACTTCCTACCTCAGGTCCTCCTGAGAGAGGTCCTCCCGCCCATGCGCCCCCCCCCTCGGGAGCCCCTGCTGTTGACCTCAGACCTGTGGAGCACCTGCAGGTAAAGGAGCCCCAGCAAGCGTGTGGGGTTGCCCCATTTTGCCGTCTCTGAGCCCTCTGTCTTTGGCTGCCCTCTTAAACCCCCGGGGCTGCGAGCTGATGGAGGAGGGTCACCAAGGGGGGGGGCAAGGGGCCGTCCATCGACGGGGGTGGGGTCTTGGTCCAACCGTTTTGACCGCAGGGTGCTTGGATTTCTACAAGGTGTCTGAGGATCTGTGCAGGCACACATTTAGCCTATGTGAGGAACTGTAGCCACCGCCACCCCCACCCCCGCCGGGCCCAAATGTTCAGCTCTGTGTGCTTGGAAGGAGGAGGGGTGGGCAGAAATAAGGCACTGTGGCTAAAGAAACATCAGGGGTGCTGCAAAGCTGTGGCAGAGTTTTGAGGGAATCACACATTTTAGGGTTCACCCTTTGCAAAGCAGCAAGAGGTCTTGGTCTCAACCAGCTCTGTAAACACACACACACATACACACACACCCCTGTTCTCTCTTGCTGAAAGGAGCCATTACGTGAGATAGTATTTGCCTGGATAATGCAATACACACCTGATAAAATAAACACCAAAACATGCGCAAGGCTGCTCCCTTGAACAAAGACTCGGGAGGGAAGGAGAAGCGCGAGGCACAGGGGCTTTGGCGCCATAGCAGAGGAACAAGCCGATAACATGTGGCCATGGAACAGCCCCCTGTGCCCCCCCCAGGCCGTAGCGGCCTGTGTTGCTGGCATGTTTCCTTATGTTCCCTGCTTCTCTGATGTACGCGGATCAGCCGCATGGCCCACAGGTTGCCTGAAGAGATCCCGCTGGGGTCGGAGCTGCTGCGTGCCCTGGGGCTAAACCCAAGGTTTACAGTTTTCAGGGAGGAGGCTCCGCGGGTTTGGGAAGCAGGAAGCGGCTCCGGTCATTCCATCCCAGAAAGGGGGGGGGGCTTAGCACTGGAAAGGTGCAGGAAAAAGGACGGTTAGTTTGTGTGTGTGTGTGTGGGGGTTAAGGGTCGAAGCCTTTGGGCCTCAAAGAGTGTGTGTGTGTGTGTGGGGGGGGTTAAGGGTCGAAGCGTTTGGGCCTCAAAGGGACGTCGCCGGCAATGGGTTGGGGACTGGCTGTCTTACGTTTGTGGATATAAGACCTCAGCCGTGGATGAATCCTCTTGGATTTCTCTTTGGCGGGAGAAATGCGGAACAGAGAGGGCGTAGGGCAGCTCCAGTAAAAAGCAAAAACTTTGGAGGGCTCTGTTTCCCCAGTTTCATGTACAGCAGTGGAATGGAAGAATCACAGAATCATGGAACTGTAGAACTGGAAGGGACCCCGCGGGTCATCAAGTCCAACCCCTTGAAGAAGCTGGGAATCCACTGGAAAAGCATCCCTGACAGACCTAAGTCAATGCAGCTGAGTACTGTATTGTGTTAGCTTTTTTTGCTGCTGCATCACACTCTTGACTCATGTTTGGCTCGTGGTCTCTTAAGAGCCCTTTTCACACATGCTGTGGTCAGGCCAGTCCACCCTATATTTCTTCATCTGGTTTTTCTTGCCTAGGGGCAACACTTTACATTTTTCCATGTTGAAACTCTTTTTGATAGTTTTGGCTCAGTTCTTCAGTCTTTTGCGGTTTCCATGAGGAGGTGGGCTCCTTCTTCCACGCTTCCTGGGAAGCCTTTGTGGGGCACTTTCCTCAAGCCCCAGGACTTCCTTGGTGCTCCCTCCCCACAAACGCACATGGCTTCTCCAGCTGCACCTCAGCTTTCACCTGCATCGAGGGGCCTGTGCTCAGAGTGTGGAGACTGGGAGCATGGCCCAGGCTGCCCATGGAGAGGGTGGGTGAGACCTCACCAGGAGCAGGACCACCTGGGGGACGGTGCGGCCCTATAAACTGGAATGCTCTGGCAGGGGAATGAACCTCTGCCAAGGGATGGGTTTCAATAACACAAATGTAAGGTAAATGCAAAGGTTCCCCTTAACCTTTAGTCCAGTCGTGTCCGACTTTAGGGGGCAGTGTAGAGCCAGCTTGGAGACGGGGATGAGGAAGTTTTGTCCGTAGACAGTTTCCGTGGTCATGTAGACACAGAATGGTGTGACCTTCCTACCAAGGTGGTACTTATTTATCAACTTGCATTTGCATGCTTTTGAACTGCTAGGTTGGGAGGAGCTGGGACAAGGGACGGGAGCTCCCTCCGCCGCGTGGATTCGATCTTACAACGGTGGGTCTTCCGACCTTGCAGCACAGAAGCTTCTGTGGTTTAACCCACAGCGCCACCACATCCCCTTGACAAATGTACCTGTGCGCAAACACACATAAGTGAAGTGACAGGCGAAGAAGGGCACCCCTCTTCTATGTCCCCACAACCCCCCAGGGCTTTCTTGTCTTCCGGGGAATGGCTCCCTGGTGTCTCCCTCAAGGCTGGCTTGTGTCTCATGTGTCCTGTGAGTTGGGGGGGCGTGTGTGTGTGTGTGCGTGCTGGGAAACCACATGAAATGTTGGCCGGGGTGTTTGGGAATAGAACCCTGCTAATTAGTGAAGCTGGTGAGCAGAAGAAAGGAGCTAGACCTGATCTTCCCTAATTCTGTGTGATGAGCTTTTGCAGCCACAAAACCTCCTGGCATTGCCAGGCAGGGGAGCCAGGCATGGGCTGGTTGTCTTTGTGGAAAGGCTGCTGGGAACAGAGACCAGGGGCAGCCCGTGGCTGGATTTACCTGCTGGCCCATGCCCAGATGGCAATGGTGGGCAGTGGGAGGGTTCCCTCCAGCGAGGCCCTTGGCTCATGCTTGTGCAGGCCCGAGGGTGGCGGCTGCTGCTTCTCTTTGTCCTGGCAGCTCTCCTGCATTTATCTAGGCCTGTCGTGAGCCCAAGGGTTAGTTAGGGGCCAGAGGCAGAGGGTGGGTGGGTGCCATTAGGTGGCAGTGCCTGTGTGTGTGTGTGTGTGGGGAAACTGGGGTGGGTCTCCAGGGTGCCCTTTGTGTTGAGGTGGGGGCTTAAGGCAGCCATGCTTGGAACAGAAGCACCAGCCAGCAGCTGCTCGGGACCAAGCTGCAGGGAGGTCTCTGCCAGCTTTGGGATGAAATCATGGCTGTGATGCAGTGGTGTTCATTTCTCTCTCTCTCTCTCTCTCTCTCTCTCTCTCTGTGTGTGTGTGTGAGACACTTCCCGCCCTTCAAGCCGCTGACCTCTTTCTCTTTTCCAGGTTCCGGGAGGTGGATGCTGCCGCCCCGTGCCGGCCCCTTGGACTGGGCAGAGGATAGGAGGCATCGCCAGCTGCTTGGGAGGTGGTGCCCCCATGGATGCAGCCACAAAGCTTTTGTGGGTGTGAAGCTTGTGCGCCGCCTCCTGGTGAGCGACTATGCCCCTTCCACCCTCAACTGACCGGGCTTTCGAATCTCAGCGAGTTCGTTGGACAAGGACCCTTTGGGTGACTCTGCCTGTCTCAAGACGGGGCTGACCGGGCTGGCCTGCCCCGGCGACGAGGCCAGGAAGAGGCGACTAATTCCGGATCCATGCCTCTCTCGGTTGGGGCCGAGGGGAAGCCATAGGAGTCTCTCCCGGGCGTCCCTTTGCCGCTGCTCCCTCGCACGCTGTGACGCTGACCAGAGGGGTGGGGGTGGGGAGGGGAGGGGAGGCCAACTTTCTTGCACCCCGGCTGGCCTGCAACTTGCTTGGCTCTGGATGGTCAACGCCACGAGGAATACATGGCCAGCTCAGCAGGTCGTCGGGCAGGCTGGCGGTGATCCTGGCCTGCTGGTTTCCTGAGGAGCGGAACTGTCGGAGGACGCGGAAACGGCTCCCCACGGATGGCTGACCCACGGCCGCAGAGGGTGGCTGCCCTTCCTCCCCCAAGGATGCCGGTGTCCCTTCTGTGGTGATGGCTTCGGACAGCACCTTGCGGGCCCTCCTGCTGCTGCTCCTCTGGGGGCCAGGCTGCCCCGTGGCCCCCCTGTCTGCACACATGGAACCTGGGGGGCCTAGGCTGGAGGAGCCGGGGGGCAGTGGGCTCCCTCCTCCTCCTCCTCCTCCGGGCAGTGGACGGGTGAAGCGCGGCTGGGTCTGGAACCAGTTCTTTGTGGTGGAGGAGTATACGGGCACAGAACCCCTGTACGTGGGGAAGGTAAAGTCCTGTGGGTCGGGCGAGTCGTCGCATTGCATGGGTCAGGGGGTGGGTTGCCAGGGCATATCTGGGCCTTCTCGAGGCAGGGTGGGTGGTCCGTCTGCAGCCATGGCTTGAATCCCGGGAGGCGTCGGGTTTGGCTTTCTCTGGACCAGCCCCTTCCCTGCACGCTCCCCTGGGAGCCCTTTGCGTTCCCCCGTCCGAGTGGGGAAGGACCGTAGCTCAGTGGTGGGACAGTCTCTGCGCCCCCCCCCCCGGCCACTGGTGGTTCTAAAGAAAAGGAACGTCGACTGGGCTGTTCTCCCCCCCTTCCCCTGAACCCATTTGCTTTGGGGGGGGGCAGATGCCATAGCAAGCCTGAGGTGGCAGCCTGTGATTCTGTCCTCACGGCCACCTTGTTCCTGGCCCTCTGGGACCTCTAAGGGAGGGCTCTCTTCTCTCCACACACACCCCATGGACAACTCCCAGAATGCCCCAGTCAGTAGGGGGGCCCATCCAAAAAAAAGAGCATCTTCTTCTCTGAGTTTTGCATTTATTTTATTTTATTTTATTGTATTTTATGTTATTTTATTTTATTTGTCCCTCGCCCATCTGGTCCTACGACCACTCTAGGCGACCACTCTAGGCATGCTGGGCCCAAGGAGAGCTTCCCTCCCTCCCCCAACCCTTCCCAGCCTATCTTAGCCCTTCCCAGTAACTCATCGTTCAGCTGTCTTCATGCCTGGTGGCCGCATATAGTTTCCAGTGGCCCTGGTGGCCACCTAAGTCTGGAGGTGGCCATATTTGAAGGGAACCAGCAGTTTGTCTCCTGGCCAAAAAGCATCTTCCACACAAAGTCCTAGAATCTTGGGGTCGGAAGGGGCCTCGAAGGCCATCCAGCCCAACCCGCTGCTCAAGGCAGGGATTCCTCTCAAAGCAGGCCCAGTGGGCGGGGGCCTCCATTTCTCCTGGATTCTGCGACTTTGCTTACCTCCAGGGCTGGATGCAATCTATGAAAATACAGTGCACTGAAATATTGTGTGTACCAAAGCTGGAATGCACCATGCCAAGTGTGTGTCACCTCTGGCCCGGGGGGGGGGAGCCTTTAAGAGACCCTTGATCCGAGGGGCCCCTTTTCCCCGGGGCTAGAGGAATGCCGCCCGTCTTCCTCCCTTCTCCTCCACATGGGTTGGAGGACTCCATGAGCTTTTTTACTTTTGCAAGACGATAGGCCGGTGGCTGCGTCCTGTAGCCCCCAGATCCTCTCAAGCCCCGTGGGCTGAGGAGACACACTCCTGAGGAGGAATCCGTGTCCTCCGCCCATGTGGCTCAAGAAGATCTCGGGGCTGGCTGTAAGGAAGGCCCTTCTTCTTTCAGGTTGTGGCTGGGTGAGGGAAGGAGGGTCTTTCTGTGCTCTTTGGGGTGGGGTGGCGTGGGGTGAGTGGGAATCGCCTTTTGCATCCTTCTGTAGGGGTTTTGGGAAGACCAGGGAGCAGAGCGAGGCTGAGGTGGGGCTGGGCTGGGCTGGGGAGGTGGGCCCTCCTCTCTTTCCTACAGAAGCGGAGAGAGGCTGGGGGTGCGGTCCTTCCGCAAGGGGGCCTTGATATTACCCACAAAATTCTGTGCCAACAGGTCAGACACTCCTTGGGTGGGGTCGGGTGGGGTAGGGTAGGGGTCACAACACGATCACCTCCTTGGGACCTTTTAATCCCTTGTACGTACTAAGGTGTGCTCCTTAAGGTCTCTAGGGAAGGTACCAGCCTCAAAGGACACCCCCCGCCCCTCGATCCCGTGTCCTATTTTGGGGTTGCCCCTTCTATTCTGCTCCAAGCAGTTGCTGCTGCTGTTATTACTATTATTGCAGGTGTTGAGTGAAAGGACTTTTTATAAGCTTTTACTTTATAACCTCCTGTCCTTTCCTCTGAGAAGATGTAGTGTCTGTTCATGGGGGTGAATTGCTGTCCATTGTGGTCTGCTTCACTTCCTCACAGGTACACATAGAATCAGTCATGGGAAGGGTTTGGTTTAGGGAAGATGAAGTATACATTCAGCATGCGGATGAAGTCAAAGAGGAGACTTAGCAGGAGTAACATTAATAGTACCCGGTTTCCCCCAAAATAAGACCTAACCTGAAAATAAGCCCTAGTATGATTTTTCAGGATGCTCATAATATAAACCCTACTCCAAAAATAAGCCCCAGTGAAGTGAAACTCTGCCCTCCACCCTTGTGCAGCAACCAGAAGATGACATGACTGTATTTGAATAAATGTACATCATTGTACTTGAAAGAAATAAAACATCCCCTGAAAAGAAGCCCTAAGATGTTTTTGGAGCAAAAATTAATATAAGACCCTGCCTTATTTTGGGGGAAACATGGTAATGCTCATAAAAATGTACAAAGACAAACAGGCCACAAATCATACAATCTCTGGTATCTATATACAAATTCCAGGAGTATGGGAAACAAACAAGAGAACTGGAAATTTTAGTCCAGGAGGGCAAATATGACTTGATAGGAATAACTGAAACTTGGTGGGATGACTCCCGTGGCTGGGATACAGCAATTGAAGGCTATAGATTGTTCAAAAAGAACAGAGAGAATAGAAAGGGAGGTGGAGTTGCAGTATATGTTTAAAAAAACCTGCATAGAAATACAGGAGAAGGAGACTGGCAGTCCCACTGAGAGCATCTGGATCCATCTAGTTGGGGCAAAAACCGAAAGGAACTTGGTAGTTGGAGTCTACTGCTGTACCGGCCGCCCGTTCAAAGAGAAGAAGCAGATGAAACTTTTGAAAAACAAATTGCAAGGATTTCAAAGAGACACAATGTAGCAGTGATAGGAGATTTCAATTATCCAGATATATGTTGGGAGGCAAATTCTGCCAAGTCTGGCCCTTCCGAGAAAGAACTTCCTGGCTTGTGTGGCTGATAATTTTCTCCTACAAAAAGTGGAGAAAGAAACAAGAGGATTTGCTAGCCTTGACTTGATTTTGACCAACAGAGATGACTTGGTGGGGGGAGGGGCAGTAAGGGGAACTCTGGGCGAAAGTGACCATGTCCTTCTAGAATTCTTGATTTCAAAAGAAATGAAAGCAGAGGGTAGCCACACACTTCTGTTGGATTTTCAAAAAGCCAATTTTAATATTCTCAGAACAAGGATAAGTAAGGCCCCATGGCAGGAAATCCTAACAAGGAAAGGAGAAGGGTGGGGTATTCTTAAAAAAAAAAACCACAAAAAACCTAAAGGCACAACTACAAACAATTCTAACAAGAAAAAAAGGTGGGAGGTGGCAAAAGAAGGCCAGCGTGGCTTCACAAAAAGCTCACGAAGGACCTACAAACCAAGAAAGACATGTACAGGAAGTGGAAAGAAGGCCAGGCCACCAAGGATGAGTCCAGAGAAGTAGCAAGGAAATGCAGGGATGGCATCGGGAGGACAAAAGCTGAGAATGAGCTGAGGTTAGCTAGGGACACTAAAAGGAATAAAAAAACATTCTTCAGGTATGTGAGTAGCAAAAGCCAAACCAAAGACATCATGGTACAGCTCCACAATGGAGATGGAAAAATGATAACAGAGGACAAAGAAAAGACAGAAATGCTGAATTATTTTAGCTCGCTGTTTCCCCAAAGGACACATTATGACCCTCCAGAGAAATGTGAAGTGCAAGTGGAGGGGGCAGGATTGCAGCTGGAGACTGATAAACAAATAGTCAAGGAACATCTCACTACCTTGAACAAGTTCAGATGTTCAGGGCCACTGGATGAATTGCATCTGAGAGTACAGAATGAACTGGCTGGGCAATTCTTGGAACCACTATCCATTATTTTCTTGAAATCATGGGAAGGGTGCTAGATTATTAGAGGAGAGTTAATGTCCCCATCTTCAAAAAGGAGGAACCTGGGAACTGCAGACAAGTCAGCCTGACATTGATTCCAGGGAAAATTCTGGAACAGGTTATCAAGTGGTCACTATGCAAAGACACAGAAAACAATGCAGTAATAACTAGAAGCCAACATGGATTTGTCTAGAACAAATCCTGACAGACTAATCTGATCTCATTTTTTGATTGAGTAATTTTGATAGAGGGAATGCTCTAGACATAGTATATCTTGACTTTAGAAAACTTTTGACAAAGTGCCCCATGATATTCTGATTAGCAAGCTAACTAGGAGTGGGCTGGCTAGAACAACTTTTGAGTGGATACACAGTTGGCTACAAAATCATACTCAGAAGGTGATGGTTAATGGTCCCGTCTCAAACTGGGAGGAGATAAAAAGCAGGTTACCCCAGGGCTCAGTCTTGGCCCTGCTGCTCTTCAACATTTTTATTAATGACATGGATCAGGAGGTGCAGGGAATGCTAATCAGATTTGCAGATGATACAAAATTGGGTCAAATAGCTAATACCCCAGAAAGCAGAAACTATATTCAAACTGATCTACATAGACTTAAGCATGAGTCTGAAAACAACAGAATGAAAATCAACAGGGATAGAGGCGAAGTACTGCACCTAGGAAAAAGAAACCAAACACACAGTTACAAGATGGTGAATACCTATCTCAGCAATACTATGAGTGAGAAGGATCTTGAAATCGTCATAGATTATGAGCCACCAGTGTGATGTGGCTGCAAAAAGGGCAAATACTGTACTATTTTAGGCTGCATTAACAGAGGTATAGTCTCCAAATCCTGTGAGTTCCTCTCCATTTGGCACTGGTTAGTCCTCATCTTGAGTGCTCTGACCAGTTCTGGACACCGCACTTCAAGAAGGATGCCCCCAATCTGGAGCAAGTTCAAAGGAGTGCAACAAGGATGACCAGCAGTGGAAGGAAAGAGTGAAAAAAACTGGACATGTTTAACCTTGAGAAAAGAAGACTGAGGGGAGCTAAGATAGCATCTTCAAAGACTTGAAAGGTTGATATACAGAGGAGGGGCAGAATATGTTCTCAATCATTCCAGAGTTCAGGACACACAGCCATGGGCTCAAGTTGCAGGAAGCCAGATTTAGGCTGAATATCAGG